AGTCTTGCACTTTACTATTGTCGCTGCCCTGGAGCTGTACTGTATTAATCTGACTTGGCCCTTTCAGCCTTAATGTATCACCTATCTCTTGCACTTTACCATCAGCCTTTGTTTCGGCAGTCGAATTGCACAAGCCTTCCCTCGCCTCTCAACTAGGGAACATCCATTATGCTCGGCTACTGGTTGTTGTATGATGAATTATGTTTTTAATTATGTGTTATAATGTCTGTCTATGTGTTTTATTTTGTATTTTTAAACTCTGTTTGACTGGGCTTAGACCCCATGTAAGCTGCCCCGAGTCCCTTCGGGGAGAGGGTGACAGGATACAAAAATAAAGTTATTATAATATTATTATGAGAATTCTAGGGCCAGAGAAGCAGATAGTGAAAACAGAAGAACAGCCTGCCACAGGGAAGTGTGCTTGCTCCATCAATATTCAACATTTATCCAAATGATCAGCCACTGCCAGAAGGGACAGAGAGTTTCATCTATGCTGATGATCGTGCCATCACTACTCAAGCAGGGAGCTCTGAGATGGTTGAACAGAAGCTTTCCAAATCTTTAGGTGCTCTTACTGCCTATTACAGAGAAAACTAGCTGATCCTTAATCCATCTAAAATGCAAACATGTGCTTTTCACCTTAAGAACTGACAAGCATCTAGAGCTCTGAGGATCACCTGGGAAGGTATCCCACTGGAGCATTGCAGCACACTCAAATACCTGGGCGTTACTCTGGACCATTCTCTGACCTACAAGAAGCACTGTCTGAATATCAAGCAAAAAGTGGGTGCTAGAGACACTATCATATGAAAGCTGACTGGTACAATCTGAGCATCACAACCAGATACAGTGAAGACATCTGCACTTGCGCTTCGCTACTCTGCTGCTGAGTATTCATGCCCAGTGTAGAACACATCTCACCATGCTAAAACAGTGGATGTGGTTATCACAGGCTGTCTGCGCACTACACCACTGGAAAAATTACACTGTTTAGCTGGTATTACACCACCTGACCTCCAACGGAAAGTAGCAGCCAATAATGAAAGGACCAAGGCAGTGACATCTCAGCCCATCCCCTGTTCAGATATCAGCCAGCATGCCAACGCCTTAGATCAAGAAATAGTTTTCTAAGATCTACAGAGATACTCACAGGAACACCTCAGCAAGCAAGAGTCCAAAAGTGGCAGGCTAAAATCCAGAAACTCAATCCATGACTGATACTGAATGAGAGACTCCTGGGCTCACCAAAACTGGGCAACTTGGAGGATGCTGAACAGATTGTGCTTTGGCACCACGAGATGCAGAGCCAACCTTAAGAAATGGGGCCAAAAAGTGGAGTCCACAACATGCAAGTGTGGAGAAGAACAAACCACAGACCATGTATTACAATGCAGCTTGAGCCCTGCCACATTGACAATGGAGGACCTTCTTATAGCAACACCAGAGAGGAATTCTGTAACCGTAATATTATAAATATTTATATTAACAACAATAACATCATTTTGTTCAACAGAAGTCAGTTTTTCCATTAGTAACATTTCCCATGTTTAAAAATACCAAGCTCCAGATTCCCTCCTACCCTCCAATTCTGATTGGTTATCAATCTTGCAATACAACAACACATATAAGAAAGTCTTTATGAGTTAATGCTTCATAATTGTTACAAAATCTTGGGGGAGGGGAAATCTATTTTGGGGGTCGATATGAACTGCTTGGCTGAGTGATGAATTTATTGCACAACTTGCCCATGCCCATCCTACAGGCCCTCCTCCTGCCAAATGTAGATGTACCCGAGGTCCAGTTAATGTAGTCTGACACCACTTTAACTACATTGGCTCAAAGCTAGGGGATCCTGGGATGTGTAGTTTGGTGAGACACAAGCACTTTGTGGCAGAGAAGCCAAAATATCTTATAGAAAAGGGAGTGGGGAGGAAACACAACTTCCATGTTTCCCTAACACTGAACCAGAGCAGGTAAAGTTGTACCAAACTGCATTAATTCAACAGTGTGGACATACCCTCGGACCAATCAACATCCCCTTCTCACCTTTCACGCCCCCCGAAGCGTCCCTCGCACAGGAATCCTACGGAACCGAAAGCTCAACTATCTTAGCAGCTCATTGGCTGGAGAAGGAGTTTCTTCCTTGGCGGTTGGCTAGCGAAAAGGAGGCTTCCAGAATTCTAGAAAGCGATTGGCTAAGGCGCGCAGAATGTTCGCATCCTCTGCCTCTATTGGCTAAGACGGTTGTACTTCCTAACGTCGTGTAACTTTTTCCCCCTTTGCCTGGATGCTGATTGGCTGTTGGGGAGGCCTGACCTTGCTTCAGAGCCTGATTGCGCCAATAGAAAGCGCCTACTTTCAGTGAGGTCAGCATTTCCAGTGTCTGTCCTTGACATTTTGGAGATTTGTCAACTGAGCTTATTTGGCGGCGTGGTTTTGACTATATAGCTCAGTTAAATTACGACTTATGCATTCATCAGTGGGTGCGTCTGTATTGTAGAATTAATGCTGTAGAATTAATGGCATGGCTCGATGCTGGGGAATCATTAGGAGTTGTAGTTTGGTGAGGCACCAACACCCTGGCAAAGAAGGCTAATGACCTTGTAGAACTACAACTCCCATGATTCCATAGCATTGAGCCATGGCTGTTCAAGTAGTGTCGAACTGCGTTAATTCTACAGTGTAGATCAGGGGGTCCTCAAAATGTTTAAACAGAGGGCCAGGTCACAGTCCCTCAAACTGTTGGAGGGCCGGATTATAATTTGAAAAAGCATGAATGAATTCCTATGCACACTGCACATATCTTATTTGTAGTGCAAAAAACACTTAAAACAATACAATCATTAAAATGATGAACAATCTTAACAAATATAAACTTTATTTATATTATATAAGATATAATACTATATATTATATAATATATATATCACACACATATATATTATATAATTATATATATTATATAATATATATATATTATATAATTATATAATGTACTGCAATATGATAATAATATGATATTTATATATTTACATTACTTGTAATATTACTAATGTTGAGACTCAGCATTCTGGCACCATACCTACTACTAGTAGTAGGAGAAGAAGAAGGAGTGATGCAGAAGCAGAGGAGATTTGCATCTCAATTGCTGTTTAAGACAATCTGTGTTCTGTGGGTCGCGACAACTAATGATATTACGATATAGTGGTATGGTGCAATATAGCAATGTTTAATGCTGATATTGTACTATGCTAATAATATATTGTATGTGATATACATTGTAAGCCGCTCTGAGTCTCCTTTGGGGTGAGAAAGGCAGCATATAAATGTCGTCACACACACACACACACACACACACACACACACACACATATATAATTAGTCTTTCATTGGGAAGTATGGGCCTGCTTTGGGCTGATAAAATAGGCTTGTTGTTGTTGTTGTTGTTGTGTGCTTTCAAGTCATAGAATCCTAGAATCCTAGAGTTGGAAGAGACCCCGTGGGCCATCCAGTCCAACACCTTTTTGCCAAGAAGCAGGAAAATCTCATTCAAAGCACCCCTGACAGATGGCCATCCAGCCTCTGTTTAAAAGCCTCCAAAGAAGGTACCTCTACCACACTCTGGGGCAGAGAGGAGGGTGGAGGAGGCTCCTTCTTTGGTCTTGATTCCAGACTTAGGTTGATCCTGAGCGAGGGCCGGGTAAATGACCTTGGAGGGCCGTATCCGGCCCTCGGGCCTTAGTTTGAGGACCCCTGGTGTAGATCCACCCAGTAACTGAGTCTTTCAACATATCACTGCATGTCCATTCTAAAGAACAGTCAAATAACTATTTTAAAATGTTGCCCATTACAATAAAGTTACAAATCTCAGTTAAATCAAATATTATATTATGGCAAGAATGCCAAAACTCAAAAACTATACATTTTTTAAAAAGTGTGCATCCACATTGTAGAATTCATACTTTGACATTGTCCTGGCTCAATGCTATGGAATCATGGGAGTTGTAGTTTGACAAGTGACCAATTTAAGGTGGAATCAGATGTCAAACAGGGATGTGCTATTGCTCCAAGCTTATTTTCTATTTTTCATTGCTATGATACTTCATCTTATTGATGGGAAGTTTCCCACCAGAGTGGAAATCATCTATCGGACAGATGGCAAAGTATTTAACCTCAGCAGACTGACAGCCAAAACCAAGGTCATAAAAACATGTTATAGAACTCCAATATGCTGATGATTATGTAGTTTGTGCACATTCAGGAGAAGACCTACAAGCCACTCTAAACACCTTTGCAGAAGCATACAAGCTCGGCCTGTCATTGAACATCAAGAAAACCAAAGTGCTCACCAGGCCAGAAATACAGCTTAATGGTGTAACATTTGAAAATGGCAAATTGTCTCTAAATAAAACTGGCCATCAAGATGGAAGGTGATCATATGATCATGTAACTAAATAATGTATAATAAAGCTTATATTACAATAAAATAATTAAAAATAATAATAATGAACTCTATTGAAATAGATTACTTCTGTCAGAATCTACCATCGTGGTGTAGACCTTTCAGAGACTCTATAGGAACTTCCTGCAGAAATATACCATGGAATTTCCTGTAAACTGTAGGAAATTCCTAAAAACGACATATTTTGTTGGATATGGGTAGGAGAAACTGTTAAAACACACTTTTCCCTTCTTCAGTGCCACTGAACATTTGTCCAAACCAAACTCCATGCTGATATCAGTGCTAAAGATTTGGACAATGTTAGTGTCGTGCCAAAAAATCTCAGCCAGCATTTGAAAACAATAAACACTAACAAAATCATGATCTGGCAACTGCAAAATGCAACCTTACTTGGATCTGCACACATCATTCGAAAATACATCACACAGTCCTAAATGCTTGGGAAGTGTTAGACTTGTGATTTTATGATATGAAATCCAGCATATATATCTCGTTTGCTGCGTTATACTGTGTTTTGTGTCAGTAAAATAACAACAACAACAGCAACAGCAACAACTTTATTTGTATCTTGGCCCATCTCCCCAAAAGGACTCGGAGCGGCTTACAAGGCAACACAGTGCAAGACAGAATACATAAAATACACAAAAAAAATTAACCCAAATCAGTAGCAGCACCAAGTAATTTAAAATTATAACATACAGGTGTAAATGAAATAACATAAAACACAAAACAGAATTGTAATTAAAAGCAAATTATACATGTAGTTTGCTTTTGTATGGAATGTATGCCCCCTACCAAAACACCATTCTACAATGCCCACCTGCCCTAACCAGACAACCAATGATAGAAAATCATCCAAGTTGAAGTCCATTCATGTTAGTATGGGGAAGAGGTTCCTTATGTTAATCTCACTCTCCCTGCCCATGTTGTGAGGAAAGGTCACAGCTTTCAGCAGTATTTCAGTCAGTGCAGAAACCTCGTGTTCATTTTTAAGAGTAGATGGCAGATGAAATAAAAGATATAGCTACAGTGGGCCCTTGGTATCTCCTGGGATTTGGTTTTAGGACCCCACCCCATAGATTCCAAAATCCATGGATATTTGGATACTATTATATAAAATGACTTAGTGCAATGGTGTACTTATATAAAACACCAAATCAAGGTTTGCTTTTTGGATAAAAAAAATCAAGCCATAGAAAGTTGAATCCATGGGTACAGGACACTGTGGACACTGAAGCCCAATTGTATTTTACAGATGAACAAGGGAGTTGATGGATCCTTGCCTCTGGGTACTAGAAAGGTGTCACAGAACCCCTGTGAAAGTGGAAAAACAAGTGGAGGGCTTGAAGAGCGAGCAAAGCGAAGAGGCTCAAGGTTATCCTTTCCATCTGCAAAAAATGATGGGGAAACTAGAAAAGAGATAGTGTTGAATTCTTCCCATTTGTTTATCTTGACTCACTGAAAGTGAGAGAAGCCTGTCAACCAGAGGAAGGGCTCTATTAAACTGCAGATTGTCTTTCTACATAGCTCCCCTAAGATTGAAAATATAGTTGGTCCCTCACATTTGAGGGTTTGACTCCTATGGATCTGATTATTCGTGGATTTGACTTCAGGTGGTCCCCAAGTGACAAACAAGATAGGTTCTGTAGGTTTGTTCTTAAGTTGAATTTGTATGTAATTTGGAACAGGTACAAGTATTTAGCTTTGGCTAGCATAGGAAGGTGGTGTTTGCTTTGCTGTCTGTGCCCCTGTACAGAAGATTTCACCTCACTTTCTGTCCCTGTGACCACTGGATTTTGAAAAAAAAATGGCTTGAGGTGGAAACAAGGCTTGCTGACAAATCTTCAGCGGAAATATCTTTCCTCCATGATAACTCTTTCAGGAATGAATTTCTCTTCCTAAGGGTAGATTTCTCTCACTTCCTGTTGCCTCTCCCCCATTCTTAAGTATGAGTCATTTGTAAGTTGGATGTTTGTAACTCAGGGACTGCCTGTAATATGTCCCCTTTATGAATTTCTAGTCTCTTCAGCATGACTATATGGTTAATCTCTGGCAGAAATTGCTCAGAGTTGCATTGGAGAACTTAAGTGATTTCTAGGAATATATTTTCTCAGGCTAAAAATAAAACACCAGTGTTTTTGTTTATGTTTTTTCCACTTTTGGAGCGGCCCTGTGTCCCTAACCCCAGCGAATATGAAGGGCTCACTGTACAGGGATATCAAAACCACAATTGCAATTGGAAATACAATTTCATTTTAACTAAATGGAATCATGTAAAGTTTTCTAACATTATATAGTGCAAATCAGAGGAAAATTTGTTAAAGGTACAAGAAGTCTCCCTATTGAGCAGAGAATCTGAGACAGAAGAACAGCATTTCCATAGAATGATCTCACAATGGCAATAGAATAGCTTGTCAAACTGGTATGAATGGATCCAGGTTCTGCTGCTCATTTAGAGCCACAAGACCTGCCTTGCAGACAATAGAAAAATATTTCCACACTTTGGACTTTTAACACCAGCCCTTGAATTGCTTACCCAGCCGATATCAACCCGATTGTAGAGTCATGCACATACACATCTGTAAGTATATGCAGCAACACAATACACATAGCACCTATGACTGACTTCTTTTGTGGATCACCACAAAGCATGCAATTGAACATTCATGACTGGTCACCTGTGTATCTTATTTAAGGTAGCGCTCAATACACTTGAGACTGCTCAATATAAACACAAATGCAATACCATTGGCAAGTAATGAGGATAGGAGGAAAGGAATGTCTCAGCATTATTGAGCTGCAGCCTTTGCATACCTCCTGTAAAGCATCACCTCCTTCACAAATAATAAATGATCTACAGAAGTCTTTGGCAAGCCATGGTCCCTAGAAAGAAGCAGTAACATACAAGTGAACATACAAGACGTTGAAGAACCTCTAGAGATCTTGGCATCATGACAGCAATCCCTGTGGATTTTGCTATTTCTGGAAGAAGGTTAAAGTTCATTTCAGGTGCCCGTGAGACGGTATCGTCGGTGGTGTGATACCATGTTATTGTCCAACAACTGGTGATAGGATAGGCTGCTGGCTTCCGCCTGCTCACTGGAGGAGTCCATAGCAGCATAGTCCTCACGGTGTCCAGTTTCTACTCCATTGCGATGAAGACTCTCATTACCCATGAGCCCCTGCATTCTCATATATCCCTGCTGGCAGAAGGGAGGCAACTTCTGGTGGGTAAAGGCAAAGAGGAAGCAGGATTCTAGACAAAAGGGAAGAAAGTTTTGAATTACAATCTTAATTGAATGTTTAAAATTACAGATCCCTGGCAGAGTGAACCAAAACAACTAGTGATTTCCCCCTATGGCCTAATGAAATAACTTTTATTTAACTGATGAGGGGAGGGGAAAACTTTGAGGTGATTATTCCAAGGCACAAAACACTAAAGACTCGAGGACTAAGAGTCAGAGGTGGGACATGCGATACAAAAGTAGACGGAATCCAACATCCAGGTCTGGGGTGGTGCAAACTGTAAGTCAATATCATTCTCCAGGACTGCTTAGGAGAAAAGGACCTTAGCTCAATGCTAGAGTAGATTTTTAGCATACATAGCATATACAGATCCCTCCTCATATACCATGTTTCATCACTTAATAGTTGCCACTACGTAATAGTTGCACCCCCATTTTTTGTGTGCCAAAAATCATATTTTTTTGAATTCCTCACATTATTTTCACACCCTTCATTTGCTCACCTGCACACCCTCTTTTTTGTTTGAAAAAAAAAAGGATTAAAATTGTGAAGAAATATGGTACTTCCAGAGCTTTGGTACTATGAAACACCCATATCCAATTCAACAAGGCCCCATTCACCTGCATGGCCACTCTGCTCTGAAGGCCAAAGTGGTGTCTTGTTAACCAATGGCTGGCAAACTATGCTGCCATGTTCTTGATATCTGAGCAAAGCAAGAGATGAATCCATTTCAAAGGGTGTGTGTAAATGTGGTTTTGGCCAGGGTTCATTTCATATCCCCAAGCCAAAAGGACCTCAATTATTAATTGGCCTGCGAGCTCCCTTCTGTTCTCTACCCACTGGTTCCTTGCCAGCCCTCAAATTACCTCCATAGAATCTGCGCAGATCTGTTTCCAGGCAATTCTCCAAAAACCGCCGGAGTGGCAGGATGTGGGCATTGGGCGCAGTCCACTCTGTCAAGAAGTCCTCCACCATATGATGGATAGCGTCTGGACGGGGCAGAGGCTGGTCTGGTGGGCAAAGTCTCATCTCACGTTCTGAAAAGTGGGAGGAGGAGTGGGATAAAAAGGGAGGAAAGTGGGCAAGCAGTTCCTCAGTACCAGCAGAGCTAGCCCTATTTATTTTTATCGTATCAGGAGCGATCCAAGGGTACAGTTGTAATGTGTTTTAAAAAACCATAAAGTTTAAAAACTTGGCAATATATTAAATGTCATTTGACCAGTAGCTGGCCACTTGGAGTGCCTCTGGTGTTGCTATAAGGAGGCCCATTATGCATGTGGCAGGGCTCAGGCTGCATTGTAACAGGTGGTCTGTGGTTTTCTCTTCTCCACACTCGCATCTCGTGGACTCCATTTTGAGGCCCCATTTATTAAGGTTGGTTCTGTATCTTGTGGTGTCAGAGTGTAGTCTGTTCAGCACCTTCCAAATCACCCAGTTTTCTGTATGGCTAGGACCCTGATGGTGAACCTATGACACCTATGTGTCAGCACCGACACGCATTGCTATTTTTGATGACACGCAGACACATGCGGCCACATATAGAGAAATACACCTTATAAGAGCCAATCTAATTCCATCCTTAAATTTGTAAAAGGCTCTACAAATTTAACATCTGCACGTTTGAGCATTGTTCACTCCATAACTCAGCATGGATTATACATTTTTCTTATTTAAACTATAAATATTGCAAAATTATTGTTTTTTTCTCAAAGTGACACTCCACCCAAGTTATGCTCAGGTTTTTGGCAAATTTTGACACACCAAGCTCAAAAGGTTGCCCATCACTGGGCTAGGAGGAAGTCTCTCATTTGGTATCAGCCATGGGTTGAGGTTCCGGGTTTTAGCCTGCCACTTTTGGACTCTCGCTTGCTGAGGTGTTCCTGTGAGTATCTCTGTAGATCTTAGAAAATTATTTCTTGATTTCAGGCATTGGCTTGCTGGCTGATATCTGAACAGGGGGTGGGTCAGAGATGTCACTGCCTTGGTCCTTTCATTATTGGCTGCTACTTTCCGTCAGATGTCAGGCGGTGCAATACTGGATAACAGTGTAATTTCTCCAGTGGTGTAGGACGCAGACATCCTGTGATAATATGGCATGTCTCATTAAGAGCTACACCCACTATTTTAGCTTGGTGAGATGAGTTCCACATTGGTCATGTGTACTCTGCAGCAGAGTAGCAAAGCGCAAGGGCAGATGTCTTCACTATATCTGGTTGTGATCTCCAGGTTGTGCCAGTCAGCTTTCGTATGATATTGTTTCTAGTGCCCACTTTTTGCTTGATATTCAAGCAGTGCTTCTTTTAGGTCAGAGAATTTATAGAGGCCCTATATGTATTATATGAAGTCATTGAGACAGCACACCATTAGTAGTGGATTAGAGGTACCATACAAAAACCAAAGAGTTCCAAAACAAGAAGTGGTTTTATTTTGCCACCTTAAAAGGACCCAAATTTGTCTTGAAATTAAATATCAATGCTGTCATTATTCAAGAACTCTTTTTAATTCCAATAGGCTTCATTATCATCTTTCCTCTGGATACTTTCAAAATCGGAGCATATAACTCTTCTGAAAACAATGTTTTATTTATTTGCTTTCCAGCATTCATTTGCCCCATTCTAAGGGCAAAATACAAGGCCTTTAACTTTTAGAATTTCTCTGTCCATTCCTGCTGGGATATTTGCTAGGTTATATTCTAAACGATACCCTTTCAAGCTTTGCTCTTGGGATTGAAAGAAGCATGAATTAAAATTGTTATAATGGTACACATCTACTTTATATTGGCCTTGGTGGCTGGGGGCTTCTGGGAGTTGTAGTCTGGAAAAGTAACTTGCCAAAGCTATGCCCTTGGGATATGAAAAAGCATGGCTATCACTGTGTACACAAATACGTTTATATTTTTGTCAACTTCTGTTTTAGCTGACTAGTTCTCATTTCCAAGATTAGCACAAAATTTCAATCAAATGTTCATACACACACACACACACATATCTCTTCTGAAATGGTTAATATACAAGTATCTCTTCCTCCCTCTCAGCAGATTCCTGGGAGCAGGACATATTGCTCTTGCCAGATGTTTGAACTGCTTGCTGGCATGCTGGCAGAGGGTTTTTGTAATTAGACTGAGAGAGGGGCTCTAATTCTGTATGGTCATATTGATTTTATCTTGTTCTATCATTTTAGATCTATGTATTGTTTATATGCAGCACTTCGCTGTATTTTGTTAGCTGCCCCAAGTCCCTTCAGAGAGATAGTGGTAGGGTAGAAATAAAATTATTATTATTATTATTATTATTATTATTATTATTGACACAAAAACACAGTATGTCACAGCAAACAAGATATATATGCTAGATTTTTGTATCACAGAATCACAAGTCGAACATTTCCCAAGTGTCTAGGACTGTGTGATGCATTATTATTATGGATTGTAACTGATTTTAATTTTGTAGATTATTTAAATATGTTTTGAAATAACATATATTCTTAACTGATGTTCTTGTATGTATTTTAATCTGCATTTCTTTTAATATCTTTGAAGCTGCCTTCAAGAGTCAAGACAGTGTAGTGATTGCAGCATTGGCCTAGAAGGCGGCAGCAATGAACATAAAGTGAAATGGAATCTTTTGACAGGTTGGGGTTACATGAGAATAATAATGATAATGATGATGATAATAATAATAATTAATAACTTTATTTATACCCAACCACCATCTCCCCAAAAGGACTCAGGTGGCTAACATGAAGCCAAGCCCAAGAATTACAATAAAGCTTTCATGGCCATTGGACCAAATCCTGCTTTGTGATACTGCAGAGACTCTTGGAGTTGTGAGCCAAGAAAGTAACTTTTGAAAGATCTGTCTCATATATTCATGGGTTTTCTGGATTGTTAATCTTAGCATGTTTTTATTACTTTTTTGTACATCCCCCTGATACCATGAAATTAAGGGCAAAAGATTGAAGATACTATATATACTGTACATACCAAGTCAAGGTCAGGTTTTGGGACCAAAATTTTGAATTTTGCTATGACCCAAGTTGAGGATAAAACCTAACTTTGACCACATGATGCTAATTTTGATGGTTTAATCAGTTCTTCACTGGCTCTGGACTGCAAATAAAACCTAAAAAGTCTCTAAATAAATGTTTTAGCAGCTTCTTCTACTTAAATTCTTAATTTCTCTCAGGTTTTAGAATCTCCTCTGCAAGCTATCCCTTCCCTTCTGAATATCCATTGTTTGTTCCATTTAAAACAATAACATTCACTGTTGACCATGGTTTCATTTATCTGCAGTAAATCCAGGAACATATGTCCCGCAGATACAGAAGTCTTACTGTAGCTAAGTACTACAAAGTAATAAATAATGGATGTGGATAGGAACAAAGAAATCCCCTCACTTACCAGTGGGAAGGCGCTGATAGTAATAAATGACAGGATGCAAGAAATTGGACTGCCAGGCGTGCTGTGGTTCCCCCACGGCACGATTGTAATAGAAGACGTCCTTGTCTGGCCCAGAGAAGTTCTTCCCATAATCCATCATGATGACAAAAAGTCCGTTCTGAACCTTTCTTCCTGTGTGTGATTCCAGGTCTTGCAGGACCCCAACTGGGTATTCTTCCAGGTATTCAAATTCTGTGGCATTTCTTAAAACGAACAGAAGGAATAAAACTTAAAACTAGATTAAAAAGCAGTGGGGATGGTGGTGTCTGGTGTTTTAGCAGACTAGTTTGGTGGTGCAGTGGCTTAAATTGCTGAGCTGCTGAACTTGCTGACCGAAAGGCCAGCAGTTTGAATCTGGGAAGCGGGGTGAGCTCCTGCTGTTGGCCCCCTAGAAGTTCAAAAACATGTAAATATGAGATCAATAGGTACTGCTCTGGCAGGAAAGTAATGGCACACCATGCAGTCATGCCAGCCACATGACCTTGGAGGCGTCTACGGACAATGCCAGCTTCGGCTTCGAAATGGAGATAAGCACCACCCCTCAAAGTCAGACACGACTATATTTAATGTCAAGAGGAAACCAACCTCCTGAATGGGAAATTTCAGGTGTGGTTGCATCCCTCCCCACATTAAGCTGATGGTTCAAACATGGTGCTGACTGCTGTTTAGGACTGTCTGCTGAAAGCTGTGGCCTGAGATATCTTTTACCTTGTTATCAACAGCCCTGCTCAGGTGGTCTTCCACTTTTCCCACTGCTTTCTCCCTTACCAAGCATCATTCTCTCTCCTAATGACTCATGTCTTCTCATATTTCCAAAACACAATAGACTTAAGTTAGTCATCTTGGCTTCTAGGAAGGGTACTTGCTTGATTTGCTCTTAGACCCATTTATCTGTCTTTTTAAACAGATGATATCTGCACAACTCTCTTCCAACACCATAGCCTGGGTAGCATAAAGTTTATAATGCCATAATTTTATTTCATCAGTATTAGAATTGGGTTGAAACTTGGATTTGCCAGGTTCTGCCAATTGATATCTACAGTATATTACATTTGCAGGTGGAAGATGAATGTATTTGTGGCCATTTTAGGTCTCTTCCAAATATTTTTAAACCAAGAAAATAGTATGCTGAGTTAATGTAAAGGGCAAGTTTTCTCTTTCCTGAATGTTATTTTTTTCTTAGAATTATAGTGCATTTTCTCTGATGCTCTGATGGACCACAATATGTTATCTCTAAAGAAACATTATTTTAACAAGGAAAGGAAATAAGAAAGATAAGTTTTTGTTATGACTCTTGTTAAAATTAAAAGGAACCCCATTTAAGGTTGGGAATAAAATACTGAAGGTGAAGTTGAGAATTGCCAGAAAATAATCTTGAAGAATAAGGATGTTGTTTGGATGTATTTTTGTTTAAATCCCATAAAGATTGCAACAACAAATAACATACTGTAACCTCCCAATTTGTCCCATCTGGAGGAGCTCAGTATCTTCAAAGGAGAAGAAGGAATATATGACTCACTCTTTTAACAGGATGACATCTGCCAGCACACTGAACATCTGGTAAAGTCCAGATGCCTCGTTTAGTCGCTTCACAATGGCATTTGTTAGCTGAGCAATGGGATAGACAGTGGAAGGCCAGGGTGTTTTATGGTGACGGGCCTCTAATAAGCGATGAACTACACGAGCTGCATAAGATGGGAAGGAAAGAGAAATTTAGTAAGTGGAAGCAATTAAGAAGTGAGCATCTCACAGCAAGGCTGCTGAAAAGCCATCACAAGAGAGCGCAGACACTACAGTCAAGCCACACAAAAGCATCTGTTAATGGTTTCACACTGAGCAGGTAGAAGATAAGTCCAAACTTGGGATATGTACTGTCTTTGTAATAAAATCCCAGAATTCCCCAGAGCACAAGGCCAAAAACAAAATCTTTTCACCAGTTCTAGGAAAACTAATCAAGATGGTGGCAAAGGATCATTGCTTCAGTGCTGGTGGTCTTTGCTTCCTCCAAAACGCCAGTGTTTGTCACCTGTCGTAACAGGAGATGTACAGGATTCTTTGGAGGCAACACTGATTAAATCTTTCCAGAAGTCAAGACTGATGTTTGTAGATGATCCATGTTTCACAGACATCATCTACAAACAGAGTTGGGAGGACAATGACTGTATAAACAAGCATCTTGATATCCATATGAATGTCCTGATCTTCAAACACTATCTGCTCCATTTGAAAAAAATGTTGTGTTCTCAGCCTCAGATGGTTTAATATTTCTGCATATATGTCAACTTTTGTGGAGAGATGACTGCTTAGGTAGCGGAAATTGTGAACATTTTCTAGTATTACATCATTAAACCTTATTGCTGGTATTGTAGAGGGATTGGTTGGTGTCAGCTGGTAGAGCACTTTGGTTTTCTTGATGTTCAATGAGAGGACAAGCTTTTCATATGCTTCTGTGAAGGTGTTTAAAGTGGATTGTAGGTCTTCCCTTAATTGAGCACAGACTACATTATTATTAGCATATTGGAGTTCTATAATAGAAGCTGCTGTGTCCTTACTTTTGGCTTTCAGCCTGCTGAGGCTAAAGAGCTTGCCTATCTGTCGAATAACTGATTTCCATACCAGTGGGAAGCTTCTTGTCAACAAGGTATAGAATCATAGCTATGAAGATGGAAAATAAGGTTGGGGCAATAATGTATCCCTGTTTGACACCTGATTCCATCTTAAATGGGTCACTTTGGAAGCCGTTTCTTTCATTGGAGGTTGCCATCATGGAGGAACCACAAAATGTTCACAAATTTATATGGGCATCTGATTTTCAAGAGGATGGTCCAGAGAGCATTACAATTTACTTCGTCAAAGGCCTTTGAAAGGTCAATGAATGCCATGTATGAAGGTTGATTTTGTTCTCTGTATTTTTCTTGGAGCTGTTGTGCAGTGAATATCATAGCCACTGTTCCTCTGGAGGTGAGGAAGCTGTTCTGGGGTTCAGGGAGGATGTTTTCTGAAATACTTTGCCACCATGGAGACCCTGCTGGGAGTATATGATTCCTGACAGCTTTGCTCACAGGTTCACTGGAACACACAAGCCCCTCACCATGACAAGGTGACGATCCAGTAAGGAGGCAAACTCACCTGTATATCGAAATCCATGAATAAAGCCACCAGCAGATTTCCTGAAGTCAACTGAATGGCTTGCTGTGCCCAGAACAAAGAGACCTCGAGTGGCTTTGGCTTCATAACTAGGCTTGATCAAGGGATATTTCTTTTTGTTGTCTTTGCCTCGCATGAGTCTAACAGACCTAGATGGATGGAAAGGGGAAACAAAGCAAGTTAGAGCTGAGACAGGAGTCCGGCCAGATAATTAGAATGGAAGAGTGATGAGAAGCTTGTCCTAGTAACGTGACTTTAGGCCAGAAACAATGTATGGGCTTTGTATGCAGATGGTACTTACCTGATGTCATTCCCAGTATTGCCAGTTAAAAGGGCTGGAAAAGGTCTCAAAAGTCTGGATAAGGAGACTTATTCCAGATAGACTTGTATATGTAACTGTTTTTTGTATTACCATAGATATGATCAAGAGACACTGCCCTTCCGAATAAGAACATCCCCTCATGAAATTTTCCTTCAGTCCCCAAATTTTGAGCATTGAAGAAACTATTTTGATTGGACATTTAGAAATATAGTTTAGGCACCCCAAGAAAAGGGACAGGTAAGATACCAAGGAAACCCACAAATGTTAGTCTCCCATATGAAAACAAAATGCAGCATTATGTGATTCACATCACTGTGCATATCGAATAGAGAAGGACCAATGCAAAAGTCATATACCTGCTTCTGAGTGGCTATTTTCCTGCCACTAGAAGCAATATAGTTGAGGGATGAGGAAGATTTGGAAAGGTTTAACTCTCCCTCTTCTTCTACACTGAGAATGGTATGTCAGTTTGTGGGGAATGCATACATACACGTACAACCTCAAGAAATATCAGATACAGCTTTAGGATCTAACCTACCAAATTAAGCAAACATCTACTATTATATCTGAATCCTGCCAGATATAGATTGAAGGAAGTTGCCTGTCTGAAAATGCTGAGACAAAATTCAGACTACTCAAATCTACATACAGTGGTTAATATGTTATTTTTCAGAATTGCAGCAGTTTAAATATATATAATACAAATACATACAAATACATAATACAAATTTGGGCATCAAGTGTTGTTTACATTTTGTTCTTTGGGCTGAGAGGTTTTCAGTCATGCTGCATACTCTCTCTCACACACACACACACATACATGCACACATGTATTCAGTCTCTCTATAACTAGGGAGGTTGAGTCTTGTCTTACTTATTGAATATAGAGAAATCAAACTTCCAACCCAAGCAGCGAATGGCACGGTCGTAAGGTGCTCGAGCAGCAAAGTTGTCCAACTTGTCCTGTGGGAAGAGGACTGGCTCTCCTTCACTTCTATTGCTGTTTTCCAGGTAGAACCGGAGGGTGATTTTCAGCTTCCCATTTTCATCCTTGATGAGGACCAGGTCTTCTAAGTCACCTTCCAGGAGCCCATCTAGAGACTTCAACTGGTATGTATCTAGGAGGCCATTGTTAATTGCTCTATAGAAGGAAGAGGTGAGAATGCAAGAGACATATACACAAAAGGCACATGGGTATTAGTAGAAATATCACTGTCATAGTACATAGTTGACAATGTTATTGATATATTTCAGTTTAGATCTCCCTTTACTGCATGAAATATTTCCAGCCATATCAAAAACCCACAATCTGAAATTAATACTGTACACTCCATAATGCTCATAATCATATTATTTTGACTTTATTTTTAACTTTCTGTAGTTGAAAAGGAGGACGAACATCCCTAGATGAGCTCCATACTAGTTTCTCAGTAACAGAGAGGTCAAAGACCCCTTCTACAATGTCATGTAAAATCCAGATTATATGCTTTGAACTGGATTATATTGCTGTGTAAACTCATAGAACCAGTTTAAATCAGATACGTGGGGCTGCCTTTGAAGACTGCTCTGAAGCTTCAAATGGTCCAACGGACGGCAGTCAGGGTGTTAACAGGAGTGGCGCTCAGGGAGCATACAACCCTTCTGCTGCACCAACTCCACTGGCTGTCAGTTTGCTACTGGGCACAATTCAAAATGCTGGCTTTAGCCTTTAAAGCCCTAAACGGTTCCGGTCTGGTTTACCTGTCCGAACGCATCTCTCCCTATGAACCATCTAGGTCTCTACGATCGTCTGGGGAGGCCCTGCTCTCGGTCCCACCTCCTTCGCAGATGTGACTGGTGGGAACGAGAGACAGGGCCTTCTCAGCGGTGGCCCCTTGGCTATGGAACGCCCTTCCTAGGGATATCAGATTGGCCCCTTCCCTCCTAACATTTCGAAAAAGTTAAAACCTGGCTCTTTGAGCAAGCATTCGCAGATGCAGCAAAACAGGCTAATTTAGATCTATGGAATGATTGGACGATGTGGCTGGAAAATGATTTTAGCAATGAGACGCTGAGGACTTGTGTTTTATTGTTTTTATTGTTTTATATGGTTTATATTATATGTTGATGTTTTTACTATATTTTATGTTATTGGGGGCATTGGATTATGCCAATTGTAAACCGCCTTGAGTCACCTCCGGGCTGAAAAAGGTAGTATATAAATATGGTAAATAAATAAATAAATAAATAAATAAATAAATACATAAATAATGTGGATTATCTGTTTTGATAATGTGGATTATGTGACAGTGTAGAAGAGGCCAAAACTTCCATCCACCCCTCATATTTTAATGCCTACTTAGAACTGACCACGGAACAACAGACTGGTTCAAGATTGGGAAAGGCGTACGGCAAGGCTGCATCCTCTCACCCAACCTTTTTAACTTGTATGCAGAACACATCATGCGAGGATGTGCGGGGATTGAGGAAGGCAAAGCTGGGGTGAAAATTGCTGGAAGAAACATTAACAACCTCAGATATGCAGATGACACCACTCTGATGGCCGAAAGCGAGGAGGAGCTGAGGAGCCTTCTAATCAAGGTGAAAGAAGAAAGCGCAAAAGCCGGGTTGCAGCTAAACATAAAAAAAACCAGGATTATGGCAACAAGAATGATTGACAACTGGAAAATAGAGGGAGAAAACGTGGAGGCCGTGACAGACTTTGTATTTCTAGGTGCAAAGATGACTGCAGATGCAGACTGTGGCCAGGAAATCAGAAGACGCTTCCTTCTTGGGAGGAGAGCAATGTCCAGTCTCGATAAAATAGTGAAGAGTAGAGACATCAGACTGGCAACAAAGATCCGCCTATAGTTAAAGCAATGGTATTCCCCATAGTAACCTATGGATGTGAGAGCTGGACCATAAGGAAGGCTTAGTGAAGGAAGAGAGATGCTTTTGAACTGTGGTGCTGGAGGAAATTCTGAGAGTGTCTTGGACTGCAAGAAGATCAAACCAGTCCATATTCCAGGAAATAATGTCCAACTGCTCACTGGAGAGAAGGATATTAGAGAACGTATCTCTCCCTATGAACCACCAAAAAAAGAAATTCAATTAGAAGAATGGAAGGCAAAAGGAAGAGGGGCCGACCAAGGGCAAGATGGATGGATGGCATCCTTGAAGTGACTGGACTGACCTTGAGGGAGCTGGGGGTGGTAACGGCCGACAGGGAGCTCTGGCGTGGGCTGGTCCATGAGGTCACGAAGAGTCGGAGACGACTGAACGAATGAACAACAACAACTTAGAACTACAAAAGAGTGCATGTCAAGCACATTGTAAACTGCACCCCATGTCTAACAGGGTTTGTTTGACTTGGCAGGTCGCAATATTATGTTGTATAGGAATTGTTGCCTGAGGAGAAGGTTCCCAATTTCCATCTAAAGAACATTTATTGGATGGACATGTTATTCTTACCAGAAATGAAATAAACAGTATCATATTGAAAGAAGAGGTCAATTTAAGAGACTAAGAAGAACTCGTGAGCATCCTCCTGGCTGTTGTTAATTGTTGATGTTATAATCTGTTTTAGTTGCATTATACTGTTTTGTGATATTTTGCATTGTTGTGTAAACTGCTTTGAGTCGCCTAAGGGCTGAGAAAAGCGGTATAGAAATAAAGTAAATAAATAAATAAATAAAATAATAGAAAGGTTTTATAGCATATATTGCTCTGTTCTCCAACCCAACAGAACAGCTCAAGACAGGAATTGCCAGGGTCACCCCTCTCTGTCCAGTGATGGGGATACTCCTGGAAAGTGCTATGTGAAGGACAACTTAAAGGAAGTAGTCTTAGATATCTTTAATATTCAACTGGCTCAGACTCTTACCTCAAATCTCCAACATAATGAGTAGCCCAAGAAAGGCGAACCCTGGAGCGGCTGACCATGTGTATGAAATTGGTGACTCCCAAAATATTATCTGCCGTCTCAAAGGCAGAGTTCCCCCGGCCCAAAATCAAAACAGATTGGCCAATAAAATCTTTTGGGTCAGTGGACACAGACTCATAGCCCTCAACATATTCCGAACCAGGGAAGTTGACTTCATGAGGGATCCATGTTCCTGTGGCCACCAGAAGAACGCTGAAACAAAGAGAAAAATGTAAGACTTGGTCAACATGCACAAAATCAGTTTCTACAGCTCTTTCCAAAACTCTACAGGATCATGATGCGCTAATCCAAGGTTTGTCAAATATGCAATGTGGAATTCTGGAATTGGAAACTAATCAAGCACAAACTGAAAAATCTCCTCCCAGTACAATACTAATACAGGTGATATTAATGAAGATCAGAGATTAATTTTCAAGGAAGAACCACAAGGAAACAGTTAACTCTGGATAGGTTGTCTCAGTGTGCAGTGACAATAAGTTGTCTATTTATTACCTCATCACACTAGAGAATGAATCCACTTCCAATCCGGTTTCTGCTTCCTGCAGAATTCTGGGGTTTGTAGTTTAGTGAGGTTGTTAAAGGCTCCTACCTAAACTACAAACCCCAGAATTCTGCAGAAGGGAGCAACCAGATTTAAAGTGGATTCATGATCTTGTGTGATGAGGTAGTAAGTAGACAACTCCAAACTGATAAATAGGAAGGGCTGACCCTGCACATGGGATAAAAACATAGAAATAGCATCTTTAAACTAAAACTACTATTATGTTCCTCAACTATACCATTTCACACTGAAGGTAGGACAGGGGCACAATTTCATTATCCTTTATGGTTTTTTTTTAATCTTACAGACACTAACATAGCAAGCAGAAATCTGGCCTCAAATTTTTGTCTCTGACAGCATCTGAAGAGCCATGTTTTTAAACCCATACCTGCAGATGATGAAGGTAATTCAAAACTTTACAAAAATGCTACTCTTCCAACAGTTAGATCCTCTGTGTCTCTCAGAGCCTCACCCTAAAGTCATGTAGTGCCTCAAATTGGTTTTATTCTTGTTATGAGACTATCATTGTAAGTATGTAAGAGAAACAAACATACTAGGACTATAGCCAACAAAATCTGTATTTGTTGGAAATCAGTTTCACAACTTGAGCCAAAGGGAATTGTGACATTTCACATCCCTTCTAACAAAATAGGTGGCCCCCCATTACTTACCTGCATTTATATAGCTGAGCATTCTGATCAGTGAGGATGAAATAATGATCATTCCATGCCTTGGTTTCTTTTTCCAGCGTCACATGAGTGATAGACGTGTTATATTGTACCTGGAGATCTAGCATGGAAGCAAAATCAGCGAGGTAATGCACCATGGCATCGGCATGAGGGAAAAAGTCCTGAGAATAGTGTCGGAAGAGTAGTCGGCTGTCATGACTGAGGAGCGAATTCCAGTCATGGCGAAGGTTGAATTCCCTGTTGGATTTGCCAGTGTACAGTTTGTTGATGCTAATTAGCTTGCGATGGCGTGGATACAAAGTAAAGAAATGTCCTGGCGCCAGTTCGCGTTCAAAGACCACATAATCGCGCTTTGCGTGCTGGAGGAAATAAGCCATTTGAAGTCCTGAGGGGCCAGCACCAATAATGCAATAGTCATGGTACAGAAAGTCATGGCAGTAGGAAGAAGCCACAGACAGAGCAAGGATTAGCAGGTGTACCTGAACATCCATGGAGGCAGATGGCAGCATATTGGTGGCAATGAAGTGAAGGCACTTTTAAGAGAAAGGAAGGAGAGAAAAAATCAACCAGAACTCCAAATTCTATTGGACAACGCAGTGTCATCTCTGTTTCAAGGTTCAACTGAAACAAGGTCTTTCAAGATTAAACAAGGATATATCTTCTGCAAACACTTATGGGGAAGAAGGTAAGCAAATATACCCTCCGAAGGTTACTTGTAAGTCATACTCCATGTGCAAAAAACCATTGCCTAACACAAGTCAAAGTTTGTCTCCATTGGGTCTGTTTTGCCTGTTATTTACCTCTCAGATATTTCACTTGAACAGTTGTTTCTCAAGTTGCCGTTAATGTACATTTTCTGCAGGAATATACTGAAAGGGGACTACTGGAGCAGTATAGAGTTGATATATAATTTAAATCTAATAAAGTAAATCTTTATTTATACCCCACCACCATTTCCCAGAAGGGACCCAGGGCGGCTCACAGAAGCACTCCAAGTGCCTCATATAAACAACGATACATAAGTATATCCAATAAAATTGTAAAAATTATAAAATTTCCTAAAACACAGTAGAACCCGAGAATAAAGATGGCTATCTGCAGTAACAAAGTGCGGAGTGACACAATTGGTCGATCATTGAATTGACCAGATTACACAGAGCCAAAAGCCTATCTGAAGACCCATGTTTTTAAACCCATCCAAAAGGCTTGAAAAGTGGGGCTAATCTAATTTCTTTAGGGAGTGTATTTTAGAGCCGGGGAGTCACCACCGAGAAAGCCCTTTCTCTCGTCCCCAACAACCGTACTTGAGACAGTGGTGAGACCAAGAGAAAGGCCTCCTGAGCAGATCACAATGCCAGCATTGATTCATAGAAGATGGGGTCTTGAAGATAGGTTGAACCTCAAGCACACAGGGCTTTATAGGTAATCACCTGAACTTTGAATTGGGCCTGGAAATTGTCGGAAGCCAGTGGACCTGCTTTAAAAGGGGCATGGTATGCTTCCAATTGCACTAACTGCAGTTTCCAAGTCATCTTCAAAGGCAGCCCCACATAAGAGTGCATTACAGTAGTCCATTCTGGATGTAACTAAGGCCTTTATCACCATGGCTAACTCAGGCTTTTCGAAATATGGTTGCAGCTGGCACACAAGTTTTGACTGTGTGAAGGCTCTCCCAACCACTGCTGAAACCAGAGATTCAAGCATCAGCAATGAATCCAGGAGAACCCCAAGACTGCAGACCTGTGTCCTCAGAGGGAATGTAACCCCATGCAAGCACAGGTAGCTACCCTATACTCCAATCAGCCTCGTGACTGACCAGGAGGATCTGTCTTGTCTGGATTAAGCCCCAACTTGTTGACCCTCATCCAATCCATGACAGAAACCAGGTACTGATTTAGGATCCAGGGAGCTTCCTTGGAATTAGGTGGAAAAGAGTAGTAGAGTTGTGTGTCATCTGCGTAGAGATGGCACCCAACTCCAAAACTCTGGATGACCTCATCCAGCGATTTCATGTAGATGTTGAAAAGCATGGGGGAAAGAATAGAACCTTGCAGGACCCCACAGGTCAATGGCCAGGAATCTGAGCAGGTGTCCCCCAGCATCACCATCTGGGTACAATTCTCCAAGAAGGAGCGGAGCCACTGCAATGCAGTGCCCCCAAGATCCATTCTGGACAGCCGACTCAGAAGGATACCATGGTCGATGGTAACGAAAACCTCTGAGATGTCCAAGAGGGCCAGCAGGGACACACTCTCCCTGTCTAGTCCTCTATGGAGGTCATCCACCAAGGTGACCAAAGATGTCTCCATTCCATGACCAGGCCTAAAACCAGATTGCGAGTGATCAACATAATCAGTTTCATCCAAGAATCCCTGGAGCTTAGAAGCCACCACCCACTCCAGAAAAGGAAGATTTGAAATAGGCCAGTAGTTGTTTAATGAGGTGGAATCCAGGGACAATTTCTTCAAGAAAGGTTTTGCTTTTTAAAAATTAGATGGCAAATGTCCCTAGTCAAGCGAGGCATTAATAGGGTTCTCAGGGCCTGGCCTTGAGCCTCCGGTCTTCATGGGTCATCTCAAAGCATGAAGCAAGGGTACAAATTCTCCCATTTTGGTAGATTTGGTTCTGGCAAGAGAAAATCTCCAGTTCAGCGAGGATTCTCAAGATTAAGTAGATTAATCACTGAAACGAATGGCATTATCAGGGGATGTCTCAGGGCCCTTCCACACAGCCATATAACCCAGAATATCAAGTCAGAAAATCCCATAATATCTGCTTTGAACTGGGTTATCTGAGTCCACACTGCCATATATTTCAGTTCAAAGTTGAAAATGTGGGATTTTATTCAGCTGTGTGGAAGGGGCCTCAGGTTTGGCTCTGAAAACTTAGTCCTGAGACAATCCTGAACTGGTGACCCTAGTTTAGTAGAACTGGGGCTTTCAGGGTTGAAGACCCAAGATTATTTGACTATAGCATTCTCTACTTGAAAACCAGTGACAGCTTCTGTTCTAAGTCATTTTGGACATGGGACGCAAGTCTAAACACAAAATCAATTGATGTTTCATATGCATCTGAAGGAACCTGAAGGTAGCCTGAAGGTAATTTTATATACACTTGGCATTGCCTGGGTATGCATTTTTCTATTGGGATTTATTAGAAATACTCATTGTTAGCTTTAGAATTTAATGAATGGTCCAATTAGAGAAGTGAAGAATATCTACAATCTTCCTTCCTTTGATCCCACTTTTTCTCACTCAAAGGAGACTCAAAGCGGCTAACACTAAAAATCACATAATGTGTAAGTTAAACCTAAAGCATATAAACATTAAATTAGAATTAAATAATGATGTGTGATGCAAAGTTGCTGCTAACTGTGGGAGAAATAGGGTTGAATACTGTGAAACCCATCCACTGTATGGCTATCAGCTGCCTCCCAGTAGACTCAAATCAAACAAAAGTTTAATGAGAACCACCACTCCTCTTAATGTTTCCCCAGACACAGCAAGAGTATCCCTCTGGGCAGCTAAACCAGGAAATCCCAAATGGATGGCCCTCTGAGAGGGTCTGCCTCTAGGGGCAAACCAAGAATGGGCAACTTGGAAGTCCCTGAACAGACTCAGAAGCTGTGTGGGCCGATCAAAAGACAACCTGACTAAATTGCACTACCTAGAAGAATCCTCCACTGTATGCAACTGTGGAGCAGAACAAACAACTTTGCATCTGTATGCTTGCCCATAATGCCTTGCCTCATGCACCAAGAAAGAATTGCTTAAAGCTATAGACAATGTGATCACTGTTGCCCCTTTTTGGTCTAAAATTATTTAGTTGCTTGTGTTTCCTCAATTTAATTAGTTTTATACTTGCTTATTTATGTAAAGCTTTTGATGTGCTGGTGGTGCAGCGGGTTAAGTTGCGGAGCTGCTGAACTTGCTGACCGAAAGATTGCGGGTTTAAATCTGGGGAACAGGGGTAGTTCCCACTGTTAGGCCCAGCTTCTGCCAACATAGCAGTTCAAAAACATGCAAATGTGAGTAGATCAATAGGTACTGCTTCTGCGGGAAAGTAATGGCGCACTATGCAGTCTTGTTGGCCACATGACCTTGGAGGTGTCTACAGACAACGCCAGACTGTTTGGCTTAGAAATGGAGATGAGCACCACCTCTCAGCATTAGACATGATTAATACCAGGGGAAACCTTCACCTTTAAATAAATAAGAATTAAATATGAGACTTATTAAAATACATATTTAAAACCCGTAACATCATTAAAACCTGTTAAACTCCATAAAGCACAGCACCCCTGTTTCTATTGTTTGATTTATACATTATGTGATTAATTTATACATCATGTGATTTTATACATTATGTGACTTTTAGTGTTAGCCGCTTTGTGTCTCCCTTGAGAGATAAAAAGTGGAATATCTTTATATATAAAATCTTAGCCTGTGTATGTATGTGCTTTCAAAACTAGAAAAGTAGTTGGCTGATTGATTTGACATTTTGACATAACGTTGCATTCCAATACGTGCGTGTTTTTATAGTAAAATGAAATTTTGATACAACGTTGATGTGAAAACACGCGTGTATTTAGAGTAAAACAAGCAGTCCGGGAATAGACAAAGTGGAATCTATCACAGAGCAGCTTTTATTTTATCTCAGCAGAAGATGAAATATTAAGCAATAACAGCACAGCTTTCCTTTTACCTCAGCAGTATAAGAAAAATCAACCAGTCACACAGCAGCTGTCATTTCACCACAGCAGTATAAAAAATGAAAGCTGAGCTATGATTGGTTGCTACTGGCATACCACTTATACCGACCAACATGGCATTTAGTACTAACAACTGTGTCCAGAGGAGGGCGACTAAAATGATCAAGGGGCTGGAGAATAAGCCCAATGAAGAGTGGCTTAAAGAGCTGGGCATGTTTAGCCTGAAGAAGAGAAGGCTGAGAGGAGATATGATAGCCATGTATAAATATGTGAGAGGAAGTCACAGGGATGAGGGAGCAAGCTTGTTTTCTGCTTCCCTGGAGACTAGGACATGGAACAATGGCTTCAAACTGCAAGAAAGGAGATTCCATCTGAACATGAGGAAGAACTTCCTGGCTGTGAAAGCCGTTCAGCAGTGGAACTCTCTGCCCCGGAGTGTGGTGGAGGCTCCTTCTTTGGAAGTTTTTAAACAGAGGCTGGATGGCCATCTGTCAGGGGTGCTTTGAATGCAATATTCCTGCTTCTTGACAGGGGGTTGGACTGGATGGCCCACAAGGTCTCTTCCAACTCTATGATTCTAACTTCAAATTCCAATATGCCTTGCTTGCATTTGCTATGACTATCGATAAAGCACAGGGGAAATCTTTGTAAGTGTGCAGTTTGAATTGAGAAAACAATTGCTTCTCTCAGGGGCACTTATACGTCGCATGTTCCAGAGTTGGTAAACCATCAGATATTTATGTTTATGCAGAACACAGACAAACCATAAATGTAGCCAATCCACTAGCAATACATTAAAAAAAGATTTATGTTAAAAACCTTTTTCTTTCCTTTCCTTATACATTGACACAGCAACGCAAGGCCTGGTATTCATAGAATCATATGATGCGTTTTCTCAGTGAATCTATACTTTTACTTACTATTTCATATCAGACTGGGCCACAGCAGAGTGTGATCGGATTTACTCAGGAAATAATATAAATAAATTAAAAATGTGGATGTTTTTCTTCATCTATCTTTTTGTTGACAATTCGGTGTTCATGCTTTCCTGATGTGTAGGCAAGCCCATTAAGCACAACTGCCTTGCCAGGGTTGCAAACTTAAATTCAGGACAGATATGTATTCTCATTTTTCTAGCTGGAGCCCTGAAAGGGATGGATCTTTTTCAGTTTAAACCAGGCCTGGGGAAACTTGGGCCCTCCAGGTGTTTTGGACTCCAGCTCCCACAATTCCTAACAGCCTCAGGCCCTTGAAAAGGGCCTGAGGCTGTTAGGAATTGTGGGAGCTGGAGTCCAAAACACCTGGAAGGCCCAAGTTTGCCCAGGCCTGGTTAAACCTTGTCAGCATTTTAATTTGGATCATGAAGGTTATGTGTACCAAGCCATGTAGAAGCCTTCAAAGTCTGTACATGTATTCAACTTCTATACAGACTGGCATTAAAAATTTTTTACAGTGGTGTCAAACTGCAATAATTCCCCAGTGTGGAGGCACGCTGCCAGTCTCAGCCCAAAGAGGGGCCAGTCCCCATGGCAACTGTCTCGCCTCGCCTTGGTTCCCTGGCAACCGGGGAGGCGCGCGACCTCCTCTCGATCCCTGCTGGGCCCCTTCTGCCCAATGGGGGAAAGGCGCGAGGTTCGAAGCCGCCCGCGTGACGTCATGACGTACCTGGGCATTCGGCGCCGGCAGCGGAACCAACAGGTCGGTCGTGGCTCCTGCCCGAAAGGAGCCCGACCATCACCATAGAGCCGCGGTCCTTGGAGTCCTCCAACAAGAAACCGGCCTTGGAAGAAGAAGAAAAAAAAGGAACGCAACGAGAGGCAGGGCTAGAGTGGCAGTGCTGCTTCCGAATCCGCTTGCTTGGTTGCTGAGCAGGAATGGGGCGTCACGTGACCCCGCTGCCATTTAAAGGGCCCGCAGGCAAAGAAGGTGGTTGGGCGGAGTGTATCTTCACCAGGCATGGGCAAACTTGGCTCACAATTCCTAACATCCGGCTGTTAGGAATTGTGGGAGTTGAAGTCCAAAACACCTGGAGGGAGGGCCCCAGTTTGCCTATGCCTGATCTACAGTGTAGGGTTAATGCAGTTTGCTGCCATGGCTCAACGCAGTGGGATCATGGGAGTTGTAGTTTTGCAGTCTTTAGCCTTCTCTGCCAAAAAGTGCTGGTGCCTCCTAAAACTACAACCCACCCAGGATTCCATCGCATTGAGCTCTTGCACTTAACCAGGTATCAAACGGCATTAATTTTACAATGTAAAAAGGTAAAGGTAGTCCCCTGACATTAAGTCCAGTCATGTCTGACTCTGGGGTGTGGTGCTCATCTCCATTTCTAAGCCGAAGAGCCAGCGTTGTTCGTAGACACCTCCAAGGTCAAGTGGACTGCATGGAGCACCGTTACCTTCCCTCCGGAGCGGTACCTATTGATCTACCCACATTTGCATGTTTTCGAACTGCTAGGTTGGCAGAAGCTAGGGCTGACAGCGGAAGCTCACGCCGCTCCCCAGAATTGAACCTGTGACCTTTCGATCAACAAGCTCAGCAGCTCAGTGCTTTAACCCACTGCGCCACCGGGGGCTCTTTTACAATGTAGCTACACCCCAAATTCCAACATTTTAATTTCATTGCACCAATTTGCTTACATTTAAGGGATAGGAACTTTCCACATTATAACTGGCTTTTACCCTCCTTAAAAAAAGCAAGCGCCTCAAGGCATTAAGTGGAAGGATCTTCCTTCAGTCTTGAACTCAGCCATGTCTGTGTATCAACTAAATGGAGGCCAGTATTTCCAAATTATATAGAGGGAGAAAGATTGCAGGTTTGAATCCAGGGAGCTCCCACTGTTAGTCCCAGCTTTTGCCAATCTAGCAGACCTCACAACCTCTGAGGATACTTGCCATAGATGCAGGCGAAACGTCAGGAGAGAATGCCTCTAGAACATGGCCATATAGCCTGAAAAAAATCTACAACAACCGTGATTCCAGCCATGAAAGCCTTCGTCAAGATAGGATCTGTAGATTTGCTCTTACGTTGGATTTCCTTGTAAGTTGGAATAGATACATTTTAAAAGTGTAACTCCAGCCTAAAATATGTATTTTTAAACTTTTGATAGCATAGGTAAGGGTTAACACCCCGTGTTGTTTGTGCCCCTGTTCAGAAGATTGCACCTTACTTTCTGTCCCTGTGATCACTGGATTTTGAAAAAAAATTGCTTGTTGTGGAAATAAAGATTGGTGAGAAAGCTTCAGTGGAGACATGTGTCCAGAGGAGAGCGACTAAAATGATAAAGGGTCTAGAGAACAAGCCCTATGAGGAGCGGGTCAAGGAGCTGGGCATGTTTAGCCTGAAGAAGAGAAGGCTGAGAGGGGATATGATAGCCATGTATAAATATGTGAGAGGAAGCCACAGGGAGGAGGGAGCAAGCTTGTTTTCTGCTTCCCTGGAGTCTAGGATACGAAACAATGGCTTCAAACTACAAGAAAGGAGATTCCACCTGAACATAAGGAAGAACTTCCTGACTGTGAGAGCTGTTCAGCAGTGGAACTCTCTGCCCCGGAGTGTGGTGGAGGCTCCTTCTTTGGAAGCTTTTAAACAGAGGCCGGATGGCCATCTGTCAGGGGTGATTTGAATGCAATATTCCTGCTTCTTGGCAGGGGGTTGGACTGGATGGCCCATGAGGTCTCTTCCAACTCTTTGATTCTATGACCTTTTCCCCATGTTAACTCTCTTGAGTGAATCTCCCTTCCTATTTGTTGATTTCTCTCACTCCTGTTGCCTCACCCCAGTTCTTAACTATGAGTCAGATGTAAGTTGGATGTTTCTAACTCGGGGACTGCCTGTATATAAATAAATATTGTTTTCTGTTGGTGGTACTGAAATTAGTGTCCACTTTACAGTAAATGATGTCTTCGAATTGAAGTTATACAGTATTTAATAATGAAGCTGTACATGAACTGTAGGGAGAGACTGTGGGTCCTAGTGCATTATTGTGTCGCTGCTCAGTTGGTTGCAGAATGTGTTCAGTCTCCAAAGTAGTGCACCTTCATTTTGACATCCCATGGACATCTATGACATCTGAGTTTAGTGAAGTTTTCTCCAAATCAAGCACTGAAAAAACAAATAAGCGACTCTTTTTAAAAAATAACATTGACTTGAGAAACGTCTCCAGCATTATCGAGGAACCATGGAAATACATTAATTTTGCCATTTTGTCTGCTAGGGGGATGCTTTTGCCTCAAATGAAAGTGACTTTTAGTCACTTGTTGATTGAGAAAAAAAAGATGCTACTGCTGTGTCTAAGGCAAGCCAGGCTCCCAGAACATCACCCCCAAATTAAAATGATTTTGTGTGTCAGGAACGACTTGAGAAACTGCAAGTCACTTCTGGTGTGAGAGAATTGGCCCTTTGCAAAGACCTTGCCCAGGGGAGCCCGGATGTTTTGATGTTTTACCATCCTTGTCGGAGGCTTCTCTCAAGTCCCCACATGGGGAGTTGGAGCTGATAGAGGAAGCTTATTGGCGCTCTCCCTGGATTCGAATCTCCGACCCATTACATCTGTGCTGTCGCACGCTGGGCCTGTACATAAGACTGTAGACAGGACATAAAATTCTGTGTGCCCAAGGGGACGCCGGGGACGCCTCAGATTAAAGGCCTTTGGATTTCCTTAAACAGTCTTTAGATTGCTTAAAGGTTCAACAAAGTTCTTTATAATTGAAAACAAACAGGAACTTCAAGGCTTTCTTAAGTCTATTGGCTCTCTCAATCTTGTCCAGAGGGGTCAGGCACTATCTTCATAACTGTATTTTAACTAATGGGGAAATCCTTAACCTCTTATCTGGGCAGTCTGTCTTTGCCTCTGTTGGCGTGGAGCCCCTACACCCGGTTCCAACTGCTTCTGGCTTCCGCGAGTGACCCTTACCAAGCAGAGCTTTATAGACTTCCAGGGGAAAAGAAGGTGTTCAGGTTTCAGTGATGGCTGTCTGAAGTGCTGTGGGACCGGATTCCCTCAGCAAAGGAGCTGTAAGGCTGTAAAATCCTCGGCAAAAGACCTGTGCTGAGACTGCATCTCTCTGGTCAAGCTATGGGGCTGCATATCCCCGACCAAGCTATGGGGCCTTTTCTCCCCGGGCTAGCTGTAAAAGACGAAGCTTTCTACCAGAGCTCCTGGTTTTATGTCCTGTATGAAAGGCTTCTCTGTGTGGACTGGCCCAAAATGGCTCCTATTCCCTCCAAAACCCAAAAAGGGGGTGGGACCAGAGAACCTAACGATAATTGACAGGTCATAGATCCAATAAATGCAAACTAAGGAAAGCCAATCAACTGCAAAGGCATAGAACTTTAAAATACATGCAGTAATCAACAAATAGCAAGATAAGCTGGAGCTCCTGGTGTGGCTGTCCCAGAACAACATCACCAGGCAAATGATAAAGAAACTATTCCAAGTCATGGATGAAAGGGAGGGGAAAGAGACAGGACCTTATAGGGTCCTTAATACAAACTATAGCATGTCCTACGTTTTTGAACTCGTGCTTTTGTTCAGATGCAAGTGGATAAAATGCTGAAACGTATCAAGCTTTTTGCTAAGCTCTCCCCCGCCCCTTTCCTTCTTATCTCCAGATAAGCCAGTGTATATTTGTTTGCACCACAAATGCCCCCACCATGACTTGGTAGCTCTGTACCAAACTTGTCATATATAGTCTTCATGACCCAAAAATAACTGAAGGATTGTGGGAGCATTAAAGCAGTGGAGCATCCCAACTCCAGATATGGTTAGATTACAATCCCATCATCCTCTAACAGTGGATCCCAACCTTTGGGCCTCCAGGTCTTTTGGACTTCAACCCCCAGAGATCCTAACAAGCTTACCAGCTATTAAGAATTGTGGGAGCTGAAGTCCAAAACCGGCCTTAGTTTGGGGGTGATGGGATTGTAGTCCAACCACATCTGAAGAGCTGTGTAAATTCCATCCATGATGGATCCTAAACAACCTTGTAAGCTTTTAAACAGAGGCTGGATGGCCATTTGTCAGGGGTACTTTGTGCTTTTCCTGCATGGCAGGGGGTTGAACTAGATGGCCCATGTGGTCTTTTCCAACTCTATTATTCTATGATCCAACTTAAAATATTGGGGCGGGGGGGGGGAGGACAGGGGACTAATAGATGGGTGTTGGGGTCTAGCTACATCCATAATGCTGCGTTGTTGCCAGTTCCAACCCAACCAGATCTGAAGCCGATGGGATTTACAGTCTGATCAATTCTTGGCCTAATGGGATTTCCAATCTACCACTTATACAATTTTATAAAGGTACCATTATACAGCTATAAATTTTATATATTGTAAAGCTAACTGAGTATTTCTAATAAATAGAAAATGCATACCTGGGCAATGTCAGGTACGTAAGCTAGTACTGGAAGGAAAAAAAGGGACACAGCCATCTCCTTGAGAACATTCAGAAATCGTCTCCAGAGAGATTACAATTTCAATCTTGTTCCTGCAAGTTTATTTGAGGTGATGGAAATATGCAGCTCTCACAGCTTGTTGGGGAAGCAAATAATTGCCCACCTTCATCTATAGGATTGCAGCCCTTCATTAACAGAAACAAGCTGTGCATGAAGATAAAGCAAGGAGGAAGTGCAACACTTAACTGGTGGTGCATTGCCTCATTGCCAAAATGGCAGCAGTGGGGCAGAGCAATTACTGCACTGGCAGGTGAAATGGCTTATTTTGCGAATCACTTTTAAGGATCTAAGATGATAAAGAACTAGATCTGCTGCAGATAGCTAGCCTTCTAATAAAAGAACTCCCTGTTCTTTTTTCTGGAACTCCAGGCTTTTACACGTTCTTGCTGCAGAAATCGCAGCATCAAACCCACACGGGAGTTGTTG